CACACACACACACATGTTCAAGTCTTAAAGTCATCCTGAGGCCTTAGTTTTGGTTTCAAATTACACAACATCATGTATGTGTTGCTTCTTTGGGGCTTGTTTTCATAGACCTGGTTGCTTATTTCTCTCTAATCTGGCAACAGAGTGGGCAGGGAGCAGTGTCTAATTGTAGCAGTAAGCTAACGAGTACTGATAAGCTTTATTTTGTTTTGATCCAATGCTGCACAACTGAACTGATCCAATGCTGCTGTGAAAAAAAGAAACTATATCCATGTTGGATAGAATATCCAATTTAAATTAAAAAAATAACCTTAAGGGACAACTTGAATGCTTTTTTTTTTTTTTCTCTTAATACATTGCATAAAGATCGGACCGGGAAAAATCGGTATCGGCAAATTGTCAAAATCAAATGATCGGAATCGGATCGGGAGCAAAAAAAGGTGATTGGAACATCCCTATAAATATGTGTCCCCGGTGTGTCAGGGGACTCACAAAGTGTCAGAAAACAAAACCGTCTCTCTTTTCCTCCGTACCCAAATCTCTAAAAACGGGGGGAACAACGGAGCTCATCCAGATTTGCTGCCGATATGACGTAATATCTGAAATGTAGGCTGGCTTTACGCCCACGACCCTATCAGAAACGTTGCTATCAGAAACAATGCGTGATGTTTTGGACGTAATATGGTCTGTGTTTACATTAGCAAGCATGGCTAACACTGAGACCTGTAATGTATGCCTAAAAACAGTATAATAGGTGACCTTTAAGGGTTAGAGACACGTCTGATCAATAGTGTGCGTTCCCAGGCGCGTTGGACCGCTGTGTGATGGGGATCACGGCGATAGAGATCCTGAGCGCCTGCGACGAGCTGGCCCCAGCCACCGTGGACGCTCTGAGCCACTCTGCAGTGAACCTGAAGCAGGCCATGACCCGCCGCAGCCTGGCCGCGCTGAAGAACATGGCCACGCACAAACTGCAGACGCTCGCCACCAACCTGCTGGCTGCAGACAACGCCGACAAGGTACACGCACGCACGCACGCACACGCACACAATATCATATTAGGGCATTTATGTGTCCCATATGTTCTATATGCCATTATGACATGGGTAGGTGGGGAAATTGGAGGATGAGCCTTTAATTGAGATGTCACACTGAGTTGTTTGATTGCGTTGAACAATGTTTGGGTTGTTCTATTCTTAGTATCATTGTGGTTTGTTAAGGACCCACTCTTTCATGAGAAATCAAACTGGGAGAAAATCTGACAAAGACGTGAGCACTTACTAAGACTGCAGGCTGAAGAACTGTTCATTGTTTTGTCAAATGTCACTCTACTGACTCCTAATGTTGAGTTTGAATTGATTCAGATTGGACACACACACACACACACTCAGTCAGTCAGTCAGTCAGTCAGTCCTATAGCTCCTGGGCAGTACGTCTAAAGGTCATTGTCCTGCAGGGCCCTCCTGGCAAACACCCCTGGAGTCCAACAAATACACACACACACACACACACACACACACACACACACACACACACACACACACACACACACACACACACACACACACACACACACACACACACACACACACACACACACATTCTATTTAAACACGCACAAGCACAATCTTTTCCCTATCTTACAATTGTATGAGAATAGGTTTGCCAGATGAATCCATATTAGTGGAGTTAGGAGAAGAGAGGGTTACGTTTTTTTATCAATGAAACTAACTGAAATATTTTTTTATAAAAAGGTTTTCGTTTTGAATGAGCCATAAATAATTTCATTCATTAATTTAGGCTAATTAATTTTTATTTTGGGGACTTAAAAACAAATCATGCATTAGCCGATTTATCATGTTACATATACATAATTATTCAGTTTGTAGTGTCTATATTATACTGTTTTTATTTATACCAGCTGTAGTGTATTCAATATATATATACTACTGTTTATACCCATATATACTTTTCATATTGAATATACTCTAACTGGTTTATGTCTATCATGTGTATCTTCTAATGATATACTACAGTGTATATAAGACTGCTCTTAACTGCTTCTGCACTTCTTGTTAGATGCTTAAGGTATTTTATTGTCCTGTACAGTTGAATCTAATCTAATATAATATCATCTATTAATTTAAAGACATCCTCAAATTTAGATTTGGTTTACAAAATGTGGCTGAAATACTTTCTGTTAATCATCATTACTTCAGCTCTAACACATTCACAGATCAGGAGGTTCTGCAAACCTGTGTATTGGAGAGGCCTGAGGACAAACACAAAAGTCACACACTAACTTCTTCACACACACACACACACACACACACACACACACACACACACACACACACACACACACACACACACACACACACACACACACCCCCACACTAATATTAGACCCTCCAGAAAAACGTTGGGCAAAAATCCTTGATTATGCGATTAAACAAGCGGGATTTTTATGTTATTTTATACGGTGAAATTGCGGGAAGTTGCGGAAAGTTGCGAAATATGCTAAATATGCGGGAAAAAATAATAACAATTTTTTTAAATATTGGCCTGTCTTATTCATTCTCTCTCACACACAACCTGCCACTAACGTTAAACCCCTTTACGATTCAATTAAACACATTCAATGTTTATTTATTGTAAAAGCAATTGGGCTATTTTAATCTCACACACACACACACCCCCCCCCCCCCACA